ATAATAATAATAATAATATTTATCATTAAACTGACATTACCCCCGTAGTGCATGATGTACGATAAGTTATCTTTCTCTGTACATCAGAATTACATCAACTACACATGAAACATGCAAATCTTGCACATATACTACGTGTATGTAATATGTCATGCACTTTGAACTAGTATATGAGTGGTTTTAATATAATTAGCATTTTTGTGACATTTTTTTATTTTTTCCCATATTCAGACTAGCTTTCAATCTTGTATGTTTCACGTGTTTTATTCAATAAACGTATCATGACTTGTAAGCATAAGAATTTATCATTTTAGCTAAATCAGCGAGGGGGGGGGGTAATCTGAACATTACAGGGGTGATATGAAATCAGGTTCCAACTACCCCCGGGGGTAATGTGAAATCGATTTCAGACTAACGGGAGGTAACTTGAAAGGGGTGGGTATCTTGAAGTCTTTACACCGGGGTTCGATTCCCCGCGATGGACACAGTGTAGCTTTGTACTAAGAAGACAACGACACCAACTGTGTTGAATGTAAAACGTATCTGACGATTCTCACACTGACAACTACGTACCGATCTACATTCCCAAAATGTCCGCTACTCAAGCTTGCGCTTGTCTATTACGTTGATATAAAACCTACGTTCGAACAATTATTACAAACTGGATATATTTGAAATAAGAAAAAAGCGTGTAAACTAAGATCTTGTTTTTAAAAAAATGGTTATATAAATTTTACACGAGTAATCAGTGCAATGCTTAATCTCACTCTATGTCGAACACTACTTTATAGATATTAAATGCTGAAAAATCGTATAAACTCAATATGACCTGCTGTAATTAATTCTGTAAGGAATGGGAAAATATAACGAATGATTAACGTTTAATTTTATCATTAACATTCCTACTTGAACATAAATGTACGCGAGGCATAACTTAATTCACCTAGCTTTTATGGAACCATCAGGACTTGAACACCATATCTGGTATACAAGTGAAGAGAAATATTTTATAAACTTTACTACCTGTTATTACACCGGCTTTTATTACACCGGTGTTAAATAAAATCTTCTTAGTTGTTTTTATGGGAGTTAAATGGTTTAATTTATGTTAATTAAGTATAAGAATTTCTTTGTGTATTTATGTTTTGTATTTACGACAAAACTGATAAAGCTGTCTGCCGTCGTCCCATATTTTAAACTACTGACCAGAGGAAGGGCGGGCGGCCAGTCAGCCGTATCATCCTGTCACTCTTATAACCCGCCCACGGCTTAAAGTATGGGGAATATATTGTGGTATCGCACGGCTTCGAAACCGGTTATATATACCACAGGGTCAACCCGCGTCTAGTTTAGTTTTAAAAAAGTTTTAAGACAAATATTAGATAGTTTGCATACACACAAATAAGAGTTTTATTCATTTGTTGTTTTTTTTTTGTACTCTAGAAATTATAAGGTTTTGTTTGCTTGCTTGTTTTTAAGTACAAAACAACACAATGGGCTATTTATGTTGTGCCCATGCTTGCTTGTTTTTAAGTACAAAACAACACAATGGGCTATTTATGTTGTGCCCATGCTTGCTTGTTTTTAAGTACAAAACAACACAATGGGCTATTTATGTTGTGCCCACTGTAAGTGTCGAAACCCAAATTTTTAGCGTGATAAACATTCAGACTTGTCGCCGAGTAATTGGGGAGCAGACTAGAAAGAACAAGATTGAAATATAAAACATGATATCGCCTTATTCAGTGTTAACAATCAGTTTGTAGCATTCTGGAGGCCGTGACAGAGTAAAAAGGGTTGAATAATTATACTGATTCAGCTGTTTTCTGCATATAATCAGTAGTGTGTTAAACATCAACTATATAATATGTAGCGAAACAAAACATCCTTCGTATGCTTGAATACATTATACACAAACATAAATGTTTTCTAAACTAGCAGTTTCAGCTATTACTTCGTGTTGTGTGTTATCTCTGTTAAGTAGTAAGTTTGTAAACTTATCATTTAATGAATTCAAGTGTATATAAATACGTTACTGAAACGTTAGATGCGCGAGGATAAAATATATACAAGATTACCAACTTGTATTTAAGAAACTTCTAAGCTTTTAACCCGTCAAAATTATTTAAACGAATGAATTCTTTAGTTGCCACTAATAACTTAAGACTACTAGCTTTGAACGTTCAACTTACAAGCATACGTGAAGGAGGAGTATCGTTTAAAAGTTAGAAATATCTGTCAGTTATTTTCTGGAATATTCCCTGCGAAAACGTTTAAACTTGCATATTATTACTAATTAGTATCAGTCAGCATCTAATGGTTAGATTTACCGTTTAGACCAAAGTCAATAGCTCCAGATCCAGATAGCATGGGATGGCCAAGCTGAGTGGGAGTAGTGGGATAAGGCATGGATTCGTTGGGTGTTGTTGTCAACGGACTGGGAGACATGTTATGAATAGAAGAGGATCCTGGACTTCCGTTAGGACTTACAGGCTGTTGTTTCATGTATGGGATATTGTTTATGGAACACGGTGTTGTCCATGATGGATATGGATCCATAGTGAGTGCCATTATACCCGGGAAGTGTCCATAGCTAGAACTCTGTCCCTGTAGGTTAGATGTAATGGAGCTATACTCTGACGAGGGTGAAGTTGCCGCCAAAGGTGGGAGTGTTCCCGTACTTGAAAATGAGCAACTGGACTGATAGTGACCGTTGGTCATCCCCATGCCCATCCCTCCCATACCCATGTTTATATTGCCGTGAGATGCGACATTATAACCACTCTGAGACGAAGGAGTTAGAGGGGTTGACGAGCACGATACCATAGGCTGACTTTCTGGACCAGCGAGGAACCCTTGTGTTCCCGGCACTGCTGAAGGGTCCTGAGCAGAAGGTGGGCCCAAGACTGTGCCGCAAGAATAATGGGAAGTTTGTTGTGTAAGTAGATCGTAGTTAGAAGCTAGCATTCCTTGAGAAGGATTTTGATAGTACGACGTATATGGTTTTAAGGCTTGACATTTTCTTCGAAATCCCCTGGGCCTTCTTCTGAAAGATCCCTCTTCGAACATAAACTCGCTGGCCGGGTCAATTGTCCAGTAATGTCCTTTTCCAGGACGACCTAAACCCTTTGGAAGTTTAATAAAACACTCGTTTAGTGAAAGATTGTGTCGAACTGAATTCTTCCAACCTTGATATGAGCCGCGAAAAAAATTAAAACGTTGCTGTAAAAAATTGTAAATTTCACTGAGTGTCAGTCGCTTGTTTGGAGAACTCTGGATGGCCATAACAATTAGAGCGATGTAAGAGTAAGGGGGTTTCTCCTGTCTCCTGATACCAGCTCCACTTCGTTTTGTAGTCGAAACCACCTTGTTCCCTGATTCGTTGTCTGGAGGAACAAGGGGTGAGGTGGATATGTTACCAATAAGCCCATTTTCATACGTGTTTTCTGTAGAAGACACAGGAGTTAGCATCGCTGTCCCGATCTGGTCATTAAGGCGTGCTTCCTGGGTCACTGTTTCAGGCTGACAATCAATAGTTTCCATCTTCATGTTGAACAAAATGACTAGATTTGGGTACTAGAACCTGTATAAATAATAGTCCCTTTGAATATCAGTTAATACACAGTTAAGTACCTTTTACGAAACTGTTTCTCTAGACAGTCATAAACACGGCCCAGACTTTAAGATACACCAACCAGCTACAGGACGTATACAAGATTTCTCGTCAGACTTTTACATTTCTAAGTGACCTCCTTGACCAAAACAAGGTTCCGTCAAAAACAGGTGTTTTCAAACTTCTGTTTCGTTCATACTTTTTCTTTCAATTTGCCTCTGCCGATTGCCATCCGGATGTTGTTGCTCAGTGTTGTTGCTCTTAATAAATCACTTTTCTACTCTTCAATCCCACCCACTTTATCTAGACTCCGGCGCTTCGAACGCACTGACGTCGGAAGTTTTGAGAACGTCTTTACACGGACGTCATCTTGGCAATTAAATTGATCTAATTAATCCGCGCATTAGGTTAATTTATTATGGGCACTCTGTTCTACTGAACGAATATTATAATTCACAGATCTTAGTTAAACTTACTCAACGGCGGAATTTACAATAAACGCATGTAGTCTGAGAACTAAACACGCCAAACATCACGCTGTCTGCGGCCATGCTGCTAACTCGACTAACTTCAAATCATGTCTCGGAATGTTTTGCCAGTATCCTATCAGGTTAAGGCAGAAGGCGCGTCACAAATGAAACCTCCTACGCCACGCCCTCCTGCTGAGCACTCCGCCTGTGAAAAACTGTTTTAATAACGAAGAGGGAAGGGAGTGAAGAAGAATAAAAGAATAATATGGCGACCAAACAAAACACAGATTTTCTAATTACAAGGAACCAAGTTCTTCGTCTGAAACCTCCAGTGGTTTCTGAGTGATTTCGTTGATTAAGTAGAAACGTACCGGTTTCATTTAACTCGGTCAATAATATTTGAAAACAACTTTAAACTTTTTAATATAACCAAAACATATGAAAATATACACACACACACACATCTTTTATGATGTTTAACAAAGAAAACATTACATGATATTAGGGTTGCTGAATAAACTCTAGAAAATTATTATTTTTCATTTTTATAAAACAGTTAAAATATTTTTGAAACATTCTTCTCCTAATATTTTATGACGTTAAGTGAGCAGACTATAACACTATTGGCTGGTCTGAGTTAGAGTTCATATCCCAGAGAAGTTTGTAATGTGTTATGTTAATTCCACTTTAAAGGATTCATGGTATCATCTCACACATAAAAGTCCTAAATAAACATTAATCTTAACTTGTGAGCAGAGTAAGCTATGAACTTAGAACTGAACTGAAAATCGGCCGGGCAATCAATATAGCTAATTCAAATATACTTTTCTTATGTTCCTACTTACAGAGGTTAAAATGCATTATTTAATCAGTTGTGTATACTCGTCGTTAACGGCATTTTCGGTCGTAATCCCAAAAATATCATAACCTGAATATTTAATAAATATATCTATAAATGATCTCATAGACAGATAGATATAACCAGCTTCATTAAATAAATCCTTGTAAACTCTTCACAATCTGATAAACATAGTATTAACCAAAGAATTGTTAATTTTTTTCAACCCCAAAGCTAATTTTAACATACATGATGTAAATTTTTTGTAATATAATTTTATCGAATAAACTCGAAACTTCAGCAAATCAAGTGTATGGTAACTGATTATACTTGGGCGATGTGTATATCTTCAGTACTGCAGAAGATACGCAAGCTTGAACTTTGGAAGATCTTTGTCAGGCCTACTTGCTGACGTTTGTAGTACACGAACTCCTTGATACGTAGATATGTGTCTTCTCCATGGCTCCACTCATCAGTGTCCACGCGCATTCAAAGCGATTACATGTTTCTCTTCGACCTTCTGTTCAAAGAGTACCTCTTGCTAAAGGCTACGTACAAAAAGAAAGTTAAGCAGTCAAAATTAATGTGATCTTTGCAAGAAGAAAAATGAAATTTGTTACGGTGAGTCGTTTACTTATTGGGACATTTCTTCTTCTGTGGAAAGCATATTTGAAATGTGTATATCGCTTTTAAATTTTATGCCGAGCAAAAAAGAACATTTTGTTGTATATCCTTCACTTTTGAATATTAATACTCATTATCGTAGCCTTAAAATTTGGATATATTCACTGAATGTTCAACTGTAAAAAATGCATTGTGATGACATATAATTATATTTACAAGTAACATTATCCAAGGCACTTTGGAGAGAGAGAGAGATAATTTTTTATGAAATCTGAGATACAAATGAAATTTTTCTTTTAACCACACGTGTTAATTTACTTTATGGAATAATATTAGTGTATTGGCAATATGTAAGTTGGATGTTTCTTTAAGCTTAACTTGGTGTTTTCAAGCTAGGTGTTTTTCATCTTGATGCTATGAACGACGATGGGTGTCTAGCACCTTCGTCCTCCCTTTTACAGATAGGTTGTTTTAGCACCTTAACGATATCAGCATTCTATAATTTTTATAGACATAAACAGACATTTCGGCTTTAATATAAACTACTTGCGTGATACATAATACAAGAACGTTTCCATAAATACGATAAAATTATTAATCTCGATGTTATTCACATTATTACAACACACACACACTTCATAACAGTTGCACTAAAAGACAAACGATTCACTAATAACCCAATAATCGTCTGTTTATAAGTTAAAACATCAATGTGTTAAATAAAGACAAGAAAAGTATTTATATTTCAAAGAATATAGTTTTTCTATCTTTTGTGATTAATCATAAACCTTCTTATCTTCAGACAAACATACTTGCCCCTGGGAAATCTAGACAAACATTATCGATTAGGAGTTTGTTTGCAGTTAAAGCTTAAAGCTACGTAATGATCTGTCTGTGCTATGCCCATCATGGGTATCGAAACTAGGTTTTTAGCGTTATAAGCCTTCAGACTGAGCCACTGGAAGCTTGGTTAAAAGAGCGACGAAAGCATGTAATAACCTTTATCAATACTTTTAATTCATTACAGCGAATACGAGACGTTTTAAAGAACAAACATAATAAACACAAGAAACTCTAGGTACTACTAATTATACTATTTGAAATTTGTACTGATTCATTCCAAAACAGTTTAAGACCATTTCCGTTTATAATATGTTTCCAACGCCTGGGGTTCGTCTATTGAGTTATATCTTAAAAGAATAGGGTTAGATTACACAACATAAAGTACCTTCTTGATACTTGTGTATGAAAGCAACAATCAAGTATAACATCAGGAGGAAGACTGAACAATGTTTCGTAGTGTATTCTCCAAAATAAAATCGCTTTATTGTGCTTATATATGTATATGGTTGTTTGTCAACTTACTATTATATTAGCGTAATGTCTAGTCAAATAAGCGTAGAAAGATATTAAAGAGTAGCATACTGAGTGGAAGAAATGTTGTTAAGAATACGTTATATGGAACGAGAGCTTCAAAGCATAAAACTGTCGATACAATATGCCTTAAAGCTAACACTAACTTAGTGTGTAAATATTATACGAGAGCAATAAACAACATTATATCAGTTCTTTTAATGTATTTACCTATTATAAATACGAGAGTTTTTGAAACTGTGTAAAGGTTTGTTTCCGACAAATTTTATAGTAAATTAACAGTTTTATCCTTTTATGTTTATGCAATAAAGGGCAATATTTCTGAATGACTCTGTTTTACAAAACAATAAAATAAACTTTTATAGGGTCTATAACAATCTAGTTGAACCTTAATTTTGGATTGTGATTTCATTGAAATTTGGTGTTTATTTGTTAACGTTAATTTGACATATTCTTCTTTGATTTCACTCATAAGTTTTTGGAGTTATTAATGTGGTTTTCTCCCATTGACGTCGTGGCTACCGAGTCTTCTCCAGAATCTAGAAAACTAGCTTTCCAATTCTTCTGAAAAATAGTAAAGTTACTTCGTATAAAATAATTAGTGTTAACAAATAAATAGATCAACCAGTCTTGTGTTGTTAATTCTGATTTGTAAAAACAAAGTTGATAATAATCTCAATTCATTTACTTAATCTTGTTCACACGTAATTCACTTACCTAACCTAGTTCACACATAATTCACTTACTTAATCTAGTTCACACATAAACAGTTGTTGTTCATGAAAGTTGGGTGATATAAATAGCCCCTTGATTATGTTTGCTGTATCCCAGCCAATATGATTAGCTCTGGTATTTGGCGAAAGGCCTCGTCGGCATTGTATCTGGCCAATATGATGTGTTTAATAAATTCATCTTTGTCTGTTTGTGATTAAGCACAAAGCTACACAATTCATTATCCGTGCTTTGCCCATCACGGGTATCGAAACCCGGATTCTAGCGTTGTAAGCCCGCAGACATGCCGCTGTGCCACTGGTAGACGTATTGGTGTTTACTTTCACTTATACGTTCTTAGAATAATACTATATTTTAAAAGTAAACACCAATATGCCTACGTAAGTAAACACCAATATGCCTACGTAAGTAAACACCAATATGCCTACTTAAGTAAACACCAATATGCCTACAAATAGGCATTTCGTCTTGTCAGTAATAAATGCTGGTAAATATATATAAAAACACATTTTAATGTAGAGTAAAAAATACAATTCTTTTATTGATTTGAACCCCTATTATGGTTTACAGAATATCACGTTCATAAAGATATATATATATATATATAATATAAACTTAATTTGTTTCATTAAAGCAATTACCTGTGAAAACAACAACATACTCATGAATTAGGAGACACGTGATATTAAATGGATGTTCAGAAAAAAATATCATTCCTACCGAGTTTTAAAGCGCCGCCTTTCGGATTCTAATATATTATTTTCTAAACACATCTAATACATTGTTGTTGTTTTTTTATTCTGGTTATAGCATGGATTAAGATATATTGATTTATACATGCTGATACAATAATGGCATTATAAGGTATTTGCTTGCCCCCGTTAGAAGTATATTGGACTCGTCTTCATTTCAGATGTTTCTCACCAGTCTGGTCTATAATGCAGCCCCCCAGTGGCACAGCGGAATGTCTGCGGACTTACAACGCTAGAATCCGGGTTTCGATACCCGTGATGGGCAGAGTACAGATAGCCCATTATGTAGCTTTGTGCTTAATTACAAACAACTAAACTATAAGGCAGCATTGATTACTATAGTGTATACTCAAAATCACAAATAGTGTGTAGATATATAGGTTTTTGTTGCGATAGCTCCGTCTATGTAGTCTTTCTACTTCCTTCTGCTTCGGGCCATGTATGGCCCTGGTGGTTAGGGCGCTCGACGCCCAATCTGCGGGTCGCGGGTTCGAATCCCCGTTACACCAAACATGCTCGCCCTTTCAGCGGTGAGGGCGTTATAATGTGACGTTCAATCCCGCTATTCGTTGGTTAAAGAGTAGCCCAAGAGTTGGCGGTCGGTGGTGTTGATTAGCTGCCTTCTTTCTGGTCTATAAAACCACCTGAGAATATTGATTTAAGCGATAGGCCAAGCGGACTGAAAGTTCGATATCAACATTTAAGACACTAGTTATATCAGACATTTCAACATTTAAACACACACAGAAGGCTAA